TAATGCGTTCGCAGGCTTTCAACCGCCCAGCCAGAGGGGGCATGTGGGGATCTCTTTATACCCGCTCTGCTCAGGGTGGGGGCGGACAGAGCCACGTGGACAGCTCCCCCCTCCCTCTCCTGGCCACGGAGCAGCAGCAACCCACACAGCCGGGGATTTACATCCCACAGCCTAGTGCCAAGGGGGGGGGGCGGGGGGGAGCTGTCGGTGCAGCTCCCGGGGGACAGCCCTGTCAGCCAGCAGCCACGTCCCACTCAAAGCCCAGCTACGGGCTGTGGGTTCCTCCGGCGAGAGCGCGGGGCAGGGGTTCATTTTCCTGTTTGCATCCGGCTGTGGTAGGAAACTCAGAGGATGGGGGACAGAAGCCCCCCTTGCCCTCCCTAAATGGCGACCCAGGGGATGTTGTGAAACCCAGAAGTATAACTGGGCTCAGAAGATAATGAGATCAGTTCCTGGAGGATGGGTCCATCAGTGGCTATTAGCCAAGGTGGCCAGGGATGCAGCCCCTGCCCTGGGTGTCCCTAAACCTCTGACTGCCAGAAGCCGGGAGTGGCCGACAGAGGCTGGCTCACTTGATAATCGTCCGGTTCTGTCCATTCCCTCCGGGGCACTTGGCACTGGCCACTGCCAGACACAGGACCCTGGCTAGACGGGCCATTGCTCTGGTGATGCGGATATATTTTCTAGTGGTCTTAACTCGTTTCATTTTCTTTCTAGTCCCATCCACATTCGAACTCCCAGGTTCAGACCGCCGAGGCTCAGAGACCTGATCGGTCCCAGCTCACACACACCAGGTCCGTGGCTGAGACGGGGAGAGAACCCAGGAGTCCTGGCTCCCAGCCCCAGTGTCTGCCTGTTAATCACCTGACTTGTCAGCGCTTGCTGTCCTACAGGGCCCACGTGACCTTGTGGTCTGCTCCGTCATGACGAAAGTGCTCGTCACCCTCTGTGTCCTCGGCGCTCTCCAAGCGACCGCAGCAGCTCAGAACGAAACGGGTGAGTCACCAGCGGTCAGGGCTGGCAGCCTGAGCTGTGGCCACCCCATAGGGGACAGGAGGGGCGTGGTCCTGCTTTAAAGAGCCTGTGAGCCCTCTAGCGGTGCTCACTGTGTTCTGTGACTGAGACACCCCCCAACTCCAGGTCGTCTGGGGATAACGTTGATTGGAAAATGGGGGGCGTCAGGGGGTTCCCCCGCAATGGAAATTTCAAGCTGTCCATGGAAAATCGAAACATGCAAAATTTCAATCCTGAAACGTTGCCGCAGTGCCTTGTGGGAGCTGTAGTTCAGGGACCTTGTGCTCTTTTTAGGAGGGGAGTGGGGTCTAGTGGTTAGAGCAGGGTGGGGCTGGGATCCAGGACTTCTGGGTTCTAGTCCCAGCTCTGGGAGGGAAGTGGGGTCTGGTGGTTAGAGCAGAGGGGGCTGGGAGCCAGGACTTCTGGGTTCTAGTCCCAGCTCTGGGAGGGAAGTGGGGTCTAGTGGTTAGAGAAGGGCCAGCTGGGAGCCAGGACTCTTCGGGTTTCCCCCCCTCCCCAGCCCTGGGAGGGGAGTGGGGTCTAGTGAGTTAGAGTGGGGGGCAGTCTGGGACCCAGGACTCCTGGGTTCTCTATCTGT